CTTCTCTCCTCTCAGTAGGGTTGCTTACAGCACACGCGATTTCTGGTTAGCTTCTTAGCTTAGCCTCCTTCACAGCGACATAGTATACACACGTACACACTTCAACAGAGGCCACGCCTCCAGCAAGAATCACTTCTCTATGTGGAGAGTTCAGACCCTCGTACGAAGCAAAGTGAAGGACAAGGGTCTGGTTTTTACCAGGCTAGTCACATACAACATTTACTGTTTGTTGCAAAACAAAGTGAAATGAATACACATTTTTGCTTTAATCTGGGGCATACAAATATTTGTTTTTTTAGTGTTAATGATATTTAAATATAAAAGCTAAGTTAGCAGTAACACGATTTCAAAGGCTGTAATTTGTCACTTCCTGTTTTTTTCGTCAGCAGTTGTAGCTCCGCCTCTTGGCTTAACTAAAACCAATTTTTCTCAAAACTCACCTCTAAAAATAACATTTTTATCCGTGATCCGTGACACAGTTTGGGTTGCGTTGACTTATATTTTGTCACATTACACATTTGAGTTTGTTTTGATGTCTGTGATGAAGTTAAGGACTTTAAAACTGAGACGTCTGAGGCTTTTGTGTTCAAAGATAAAATCCTGAAAGCCACTGCAGGCTGTTCGAGTTGACACGAGATGCAAATATGATAAATATTAGTGCTTTAGCTTCTGTCAATTTTATATATATTTAGCTTTTTGTCATTAGTGGAACTAAGGAAGTGTAGATGTTAAAGCTAAGATTTTGATCAGCTATGCCCACCACTGCTTACAGTCATCAAACTACTCTGTGTTGGTCAAGAGTTTCACTGCAACTCCTCAGAAGCTGAAACAAGACCTGCATTCAAGTGTCACTAATACCCGCCACCTCCCACTATACATAACGTACCGCAAGACAGGTCAGTCCTGCAGGAGGAGGGGGTGGGGGTGGGTGAGGATGAAGAGGTGGCTCTCCTCTAACCAGAGCCTCACAATGAAAAAACGAAGCRTCACTGAACTAATTCTTAAATCTCTATTCACATCAAACGTAAAACAATATTTGCAGTAAAAATTTAGTGCCTCGCGCAGAACTGGCAACCCAGCTGCCAATCTAAAATCTACAGAATATTATTGTAGAATAAAAGCTGTTCCTAAAGTTTGGACAGAAATGGAAAAAAAAAGAAAGGAGTTCTCGATAAAAGAGGCACGTACAACTGAACGACACCCTGCTTTTTCTTTATACAATTGGCAGTTTTACTATTAGACCAAACTTAACCGTCATGGACTGAAATGATTATAAAGGTTAGATACTTTCTTACATTGTGGCAGCATATTATACACCCATATAGCCTTGGGCCTTATTTGTAAGGATAAGTGATACACAGGTTAAATTGGTAAAACATCAATTTAACAACCACTGAAAGGACTGACCAATTACAAACACACAACATCACCACGGCTTGTTGCCAGACACAAAATCATATCAGGAGAATATATTAATTAGCAAGTCACCTGGAGTAGTCACTAAACAGTTTGTGGTAATACTGCATTGGAGAGTTTTAGCTTGGTTGGCTTAAAAATATAAGCAGTAAAMCCTCACGCCTGACACACGGGGAAGCTAAATAAACAATAAAAATACTGACCAATCTACAACCATCATCTCCAAAACATCATCAAACCTACAGCTGTAACACTATGTGTACACCCCCACACTCGACTTACACTGAACTCGCTCTTTCACAATAAAAGCTTAAAACATGTCACAACTTTACCAACCCCAGATTAACGCACAGCTGCTTTTGTCTTGACCTAAAAGTGTGAACATAAAGACAGGACAGTGCAAATGAGAGTCTCTTTGGGTTAGTACAACACCTCCAAAAACAGCCCCATTGTATTAAACTGTGAGAGTTTTCTTTTTGTCTACTTTAAATAAAAATCAACACAAAAACATCTAGAAACACTCGGTGTCAGGGGGAGAAATGAAACAACAGATAAGCTGATACTACACTAACTGTTCATGTTAGAAGGTGAGTTTGGTCCAGTGTTTCATCAACAATGACCCACCTCTCGCCTCGCCTCGAAGCTGACGAAATACTCGCCTTCTCAGCGAGGGGGTGGGGTGGACGCTCAGAGAGGCTGGGAGTTGTAAAGTTTTGGGGGTGGGGTGGGGGGGTGTGTTACGTGATGGAGGCAGCTAAGACTGAAGGAAGGAGATGATGGAGCTGATGAAATCTAAGGGTTTGTCGGCGTGGATCCAGTGGCTGGCATCGGGGATGTACTGGATGTCCGCGTTGGGGAACAGCCTCTGGATTTCAGGGTAATCCTCCGAGCTGAAAACAAGGAGGGATAMGAGTAAAACCACCTAAATCTGAAATGGAGCTGTGACCAATCAGATTTATCATTTTTACTTTAGGGAGTAAGTAAAAAAAAAAGGACTTTTTGCTTTTTTTCCTCCATTTAGTGAGTATTTTAAAATAAATACTATACGAGCTATTTTATACTTTTTACATTTTAAATTATTATTAGCTGTTTATTTCACTTATGATTACTTTTTGTTGTAATTTTTTGTATACATTATTTTGTTAGTATTCTTTGCTGCATTAGTTTGATTGTGACGATTAGACAAAACCAGGAAACCCATAAATATGGGGCTTGGTCCTGGACCAGCATGCACTGCGGTGGGTATATTGTTTTATTACCAGAGCAGAAGAGGGAGTGGTTGAACATAAATGTTACTGGGAAGGTTTTGGATTAAATYATCAAAGGAAAACATTAACATGGTAAAATGCTTCTTTCACCTTTGTTGAACAGAAAAAAAAACTCATTGAAATTGTGGCCTTTTAAATGGTTGAACTTTAAAGTGCCTGTGACATGCCTATCCTTCAAATGCAAAAAGTCAAAGAAAACATCTTTATATTTAAGAAACTTGACATAAYACCCACGATTTTACCCATTTTCTTACATTTTTGAACTTGCCAAAGTGAAACAGGAAGTGACATCAAAGGGGAACTGTTTCAAAGAGAAAACTCCCTGGTCTTTGTTTATTGAAATAATATTATTTAAACTCTTTTTTTAATCTCTCTGTGACTGAAAATTATCTAAAGAAACATCAGATTCTTCTCTACAGTCTGTGGTAGCTGTTGTAGCAACACTGTTCACATGCAGACATTCCCCTTTGACATCACTTCCTGTTACTTCACATGTGAATATCTGAACAACTGTTCATCTCAGCAGTGTATAATTAATAATAATAAAYAATAATAAATATTTTGCAATATGTTATCAATGTTATCTTCCCAAAAGTGCATTCATATTTATTACAAAAATTTGATGTCATTGGCACTTTAAAGAAAATTGCCACTATAAATAAAAAAAATGTCTGGCTGAAAGATTGTTTACAATAATTAAATTAACAAATGAATAAATCTTATCTGTTTAACAGAACCAAACATCTTAATATGTATCATATTGTTTTGGATTAGAAGTTAAGAGCTTAAAACTGATTATTAACATAACCAATTTTCATATTAAATAAAATGAATTAAATTAGTTAGAGCCTGACATGTTTAATAGCTTTTAGAGCTATTCTGTCYAAAGATTATTTTTGATTGAATTTATTTATTTGAGAAAAAGGGGCAGATATAATAAGATTTTTTCTTCTTCTGCTACCTTTCATTTAATTTATGATTCGTATTTTTTGTTGTATGTTGAATTTATGTTGTTGTTTTTTAAAGAAATGAATAAACTATATAAAATAAAATAAACAAAAATTAAAATAAGATTTTATCGACCAATTCTACATGACACAAAAAAGTGKTTTTTACTTTTTAGAACAGCCATGATCAAGTTTTAATGGTTCTGATTGAGAAAATGTAAAGAATATTTAAGCAAAGGTCTTAAGCTAAAGTAATCTTGCATGAGCAGGATTAATGAGCAGCAGGACAGGAAAGTAAAATCTATTTTTAGATACACCACATTGAGGACATGGAATCAATTTTAATTCTCAAAAATTGATTTTATTTATGTAACCGCCTCATTTTTATAAAAAAAACAAATAAATCCTCTGTTGTGTTTAATACCTGATATAAGCTGAGCTGGCTCCACCCAGAAACAGCGTTGGTCCGTTGTAGACGGTGTCAAAGCTGGGGAAACTCAGGATTTCATCCAGGTGTGCTGCGATGGACTCCAGGTTGACCCTCCAGCTGTAGTGTCCGTTCTGCTCCACCAGGTTGGTGAGCAGGAACTGACGCACCGAGTGCTCCTGTGGCAGAGAGGTGTAGCTTTAATTTCTCCGCCCCCTTTTTTTCTTTTTTAACAAACAGCTTTAAAATCTAAAGGGCAGTCCTGACCTTCACCAAAGGGCGCAGCTGATCCTCAGCCATCCGCTTGGCGGTGGAACGAGGGATGTCGGAGGAGATCGTCATCTCCTGCATGGCCTGGATGTAGAAGCGGAAGTTGGTGCGTGTGGCGGACTGGGCGGGGCTGATGTCCACGACCACCAACCCCTCCACTAAACTCGGCTACAAACAGACGAGACYGACTCAGTTACACAGGAGATATTAAAGAAACAAACACAGCTGTGGGGGAAATCTTTACAAGATTAGAAAAAGTACAAATGATAGTGAAGTCATGAAGTTTTCTTAYTTTAGTTGTTCACAGAAACATACTCAAATCAAGACTTAAAATAATTAAGTCCTTCAAACTCAGCTAGACAGAATTAACTTTTAATATTTGAGGAAAGTAATAAAAAGCTATAACTTTAATATGTAGACATATTACCATAATGAACATATAAYGTTCACTTCATTAAAACACTTAGCAGTGATGACTGCCACATGTTTTGCGAGGTGAGTCAAGTTTTAATGTCAGCAGGCTGGGGTCTATATAAAGTGGAACTGCAGTGCTTTGGTCTGAATTCCTCCTTATTGTAGCTCCACAAGCCCCTTTTTTTCTGAGGTGCGTCTCAGATTAACTCATTTTGAGGCTGTCTCTTTAAATCCAAACAAGACGCTTCACCCCCCGCCCCCAGCCAGCTTCCACACAGGTCCATTCCAGTTTGATAGAGAGGTTTACAACTATATAACAGAGCAGAAACTATTTATAATTTAAAGGCGTCCCATTATACAAAATCCATTTTTAAAAAGTTTTTTTACTCAACTTTGAGTATGTACTTCTTAAAAAAACAGTCCTAGGACCAAAAAAATGCACCCAGGGGCATATTTACTGTAAGTAAATGTATTTTTAATGTATATTAACGACAAGTTTTATACTTGCATCATTTTGTGATGTCACAAGCCGTACGACAACCCACCAGAACCTGCGTTCAGCCCCTCACCTGGGTGAAGCCCCACCCCCTTTAATAAGCTAAACAATAGAGCTACATGAGAAAACGTTCATAACGAACGAAAATAAATAATTAAATAGTGTCCGTGCCGGTCTCAAACCCTGGTCTCCCACTCTCTGGTCCAACACTCTGCCCATTGCCCTATTGGAGGCTTGTTGTGAAATGAGCTGCACATTACACAACAACAACCCTGACAGCTTTTTATACTGAGGAGGTGGAGCTTCACCCGGGTGAGGGGCTGAAC